AGTAACGATTTCTGAAACACGCCTAGATGCCCCATTTTCAAAAGGTAGACGCATTTCATGGCACCAATCCACACGAGTCTTTTTTCGCTTTCGGAGAGCAAACGAGGGATCTATTGACAACAAAGCTTCCTCACTCCAAGATGTTGATGTAGGATAGTATGAATGATTCCCGAACTAATGTCTATAATCTTTTCGATGTCCGTATATTTTGTGATTCGTGGGTCTTCTCGCACCAACATTTCAGTAGTCCATACATTTTCTGCCGTTACTGCTGTTTGCGAGGCCCCGGTTCTTTGGTCATTTTTAAGATTAATTTTAACCCTTTTGAATTCAGCAAACCACCTAAAAATTGGTGCGCGTGATGGAACTGAGTCCCTTAATGCTGATTGTAACCGTTGTAAACTTAATTGTTCGCTTAAATCAAATTTAAAATCATAATATATCATAGCGCGCAAATGTTCGCGGTTAAGATTCATCGTTTTAAATGAAAAGCGCGGGAAGCGTTGCAGGAAAATTAATAGATTTTTTTTTAATTTTGAACAATTGGCTTATGGAGTTCTAGTTTTAAATAAATTTGCTTTTTAGAAACATAACACGGGTGCGTTCCATTTTTAAATTTCGAGCATCTCTAAACTTATTGAGTGACCTACGTTCTTATGACGCTTGAATGGTACGTATCAGTATACGTACAGTATTAGTTATCTTGCTTCCTTGTCGATGGTTTGGTTAAAATGTAAATTTATTATTTATAGGAAAAAGCAAAGAAGGTTGAGGAAGAGACACCGAAGGACCAGGGAGCGCCGCGAACGCCAGAGGAGATTCTTGCGGAGGGCGGGTGCAAATTCCCTGATGGGCCGCTACCCAACGGCAAGGAGGTGCATCCGTCTATACATTCTCATGGCGAGCAAAGATGTGTAACTTGCCGCTGCAAGGTAAGAGACCCGACATAAGTAAATGTATTGTAGAGGTAAAAACCGCGTTTTGACAAACGTAACGTTATACGGCTTTAGCTTTCTTGCTAGTCTGCTGGAGATAGGTATCTCGGATATATCGGTAGCCACAATCTCAACGCTTGGTAGGTAGATTGGCGTATGCAGTACTAGATGTGATCGCACCTTTGGCGCTATTTGAGTCTTTCGTTTGTCTTTGTCGTTTGAGAAATTCACCAATTATTAAGCAAGTTTTTGAAGATTTGCTCATCGTAGTCATGTGAGCGCGGAGTCGATACCCTAGTATAAGTCATGTTGCTGCTATCAACAGTATATAAAATTTGATTTCAACGTTTTTAAATGGATTTTCCGCCAACAGCGCTCAGCCAGAGCCTCTTTCGTTAATCAACAGGTTACATCGCGTTATAAGGTTGACATTTAGACTTGACACTTTTCCACGTTCATCTCATCTGGCATATACCACATGATTAGATCGCTCTCTATCAAAGATTTTGTGACCTTAATTTACAGACATTTACATTCTGGAATTTCCCATAGTCATTTCATATTACGCAACTATTATTTCAACAGAAAAGCTCCTAAAAACGTTTGGAGTAGACTTTTCGAAATAATTCCTGTAACTTCTAAATACAGGTTAGTACGTAAACTAGTTGGGAGACCTAGAATTCTGCAGATCTCCAATCACTAATGATACACATGATGTACTGTATACAAGTATCTTTGTGACAAATATGTAAATTCAACTTAAATTATTATTATGTTAGAAATAATGAAATAAATCACGTTGTATTGTTCAGGACGGCGAGGTGACGTGCGTGCGGAAACGCTGCGGGCGCGCTGCGTGCGCGCGGCGGCGGCGCGGCGACTCGTGCTGCGCGTGCACGCGCCACCGCCGCCAGCGCGCGCCGCGCCACTCGCCCAGCTGAGCTGCGTGAGCCTCGCTACTAGACGACCAAGCCAACTAGACGATCAGACAAAACGCTCCTCACACGTTTGATGGGGTCGGATATAACAATTGGCATGTAGCTCGGGACGTGATATTCAGTTGCACAGTTGATTCTATGCTTGTATGGTGGTACACGGCACCATTTCCGCTTTCTAATTGGTTGGTTATTTGTCCGTTCCTCAGTGATTGATGCAATAAAATGCACTCATCACAAAGATACGGATAAAGTCAAAATTATTTAAGCCGATTATTATACTTAACTGAGTTGGATGGGGATGCGGAATAGTGGTCGTTGGACTTGACTTTTTCATACGCCCCGGAAAGCGCTCTCTACTCGGGCATGACACTACCATACAGAGCACAGATTCGGGTGAGGACGAGGTCACGTTTGCTTGGTCGACTCAGACGTGTGTGCTGTATGTTCACCTTGTCAACTCCACGCCACAGAGTAACTAATAGCAGTAGGATCTCTATTGAATCTGTTTTTGTTGAATATAATATACTCAATCTTTAACAAACATCATCTATTACCTGAAATGTGTAAATTCTAACACATTAAAAGTTTATGTTTTTCATTTGTTTCAATGCGCTTATTTTGCAAATTGAAAATCTTGCTGGACACTTGGTTCCACAATTCCGTAAATATTTACCATGAAGTACTTTTAAACGTGGAATTAACTGGGATTTTAATGTTTATTTTACACTTTACTAATAAGGTCAAAATATAATAATTTAGTTTTAATAGGCAACAAGTGTGTATGTGATGATACCTACGAGTCAAGGTTAAACTACTGCTTTTAGTTTTTCTGTGTCCTAGGCTAAGTGAGTGAACGCTTCGTTCTATAGACTGATATATTTTTATGTATCTTGCGATTCAAATGTTTATCGGTCGGCCGCGCGGCGACCCGGGGTCGATCGGTGCGGCTTCTTATGATTGAACGACGTTAAATATTTCGCTTCCCACCGGTATTTTAATTGGTATTATGAAACGTCCCAAATTTTTTATAGGTACATTACACGAAGCTGACGAATGACCGACCGTGTAGTGTTTTTTAGTCGTGCGGCTCGATCGCTTCGGTAGCGATTAGTGAGTCAGAAGAGGCGTGTTTGTGGTAGGTGTTAAAGATGTGCCATATTTTCTTAATGTAAATAATAAATAAATTATTACATATAATCTATTCTTATTATGTGAATATTTATTGATGATTCTATTGTATAATATACCTTATTAATGGGAATGTAGGCCTGTTAGACGAAATCATCACAAAATTTTTAATTTTATAAGCCTTCATTTCGTGCATTTGCTTGTAGGTTTTATATCTCAATTTTAACTTCATGTGAATGTACACCTTACACTATTTAGTGTAACTTGGTATAATTTGCTTTTGTAAGTTCTGTTTTAGGAAATCGATAGGCATAGCGTAAGTTTATTACAGATGTTATCTCTAATAGAATTTGTAAATAGCAAACATTGTATTATCACTATATACATATATATATATTACTAAAACATATTGTACGTATTTACATTAAATGCTATATTACTGATGTGGGCGCTGATATTAAAAGTGTAGTTAAGGTTGATATAAGTGAATTTCGAGACTAGTTTTGTTTAATTACTAGATAAATATAGTTTTGTAATTAAGAAAGCTAGTCCAAATGTTTCGATGTGATGGAAATGAATGCCATGTAGCTAGAGATGTATTATGCCTGCCTTGAATATTGTTAGATTCTATAGTTATATTATTGTAAGTCACGGCTTAAAGTATTTCGTTTGTACGGCATTATTTTTTTAGAAGCTGAGGATATCGTGAGACATTACCAAAAAGATTTTTTTCAATGTTTTAAAAAAATAAAATTTCGCGTTTTTGTTGTGGGTTTCTAGTCCATCAAAATTATGAATATATAATTTTAAGTGTTATTCACACGTTGTATTGGCTATCATTTGTTTTATTTTTAAATTAATAAGGATATCAATTAATTATTAAACACGAGAGTTATCTTGTTTTTAATACTTTTTTAATCTAACAATAGAAATTAATCACCTATGGCTTGCGAATAACATAACTAATAGCCATAAAGGATACTATGAACTTGCTTGTATTGCGTTGTTTTTCTTTTTAATAATGATTGTATCCAATATAATGTCAATAATTTTATCCGGTATAAACGGAAACACGTAACCGAATGTTGAATTTGTAATTATAAAAATAAAATATTCTAAACATCCTTTTGAAAAGTTTTGTTGCATTCACCTTAATTTAAAAATTTATATCGACGAGGTAGCTAACCTCCTTATAGATAGTTAACCTGCGACAGATTTAGAATGAATAAAATTACCTGTGAATTAAAAAGTGTTGTTTTTTTAAATTAATACATTTATTTTTAAATATTATTTTTAATTATTCAACCACTACTTACACGTGTGTGGTCTCCTGTATTCGGAGCCTGCCCTATTAGTTATTATATACCTTTTTCTATATCCGTCATCAAGCATGGCGTCCACTGATGTATTAAAGTTATAAGGACAAGGAGAAGCATATTACTGGCTTCAAAGCATTCCACTTAGTTCTTAGAGGCCTGTCCTTTGTTTAAAGTTGGTTTCAGGTGGTCATTGCTTTTCAGTAGTTACTTTACGAAAAATTTAAAACTATTTGTGTGATTTTGAATTGCAAAACAAAATCAAACTTACTGAAATCTATCAAAATTATAATAAAGATGACAGAAATGATGCAAAGCGTAAATAAAACAAGTATTCAATATAAGCTAATTTATTAAAAAGTCTATATTTATCATTACTTTTTCAGAACAATATTTTTGTATTAGTATTTTTTTAAAAAGGGGTAACAAATGAGCATACAGTCTACGTCTACTTGATGGTAAGTGGATGCTGTGGTCAATAGACATCTACATCTATCCTTTTTTTTCATTCCTCCTCAGTTCCTACGCTGGTCGAGCCGACCCATTCATACTGCAACCATAATGTAGCTGCAATGTGGCCCTACCACGTTAATTACAATAATTGCTTATTAAAGTTTTATTATACTTAATTACTTTTCAAGAAAATCTTTGGCATTATATGAATTATTATCTTGATAGAAATATTATAGAGAAGATTTAGTGAGTGCTCGCAACGCGTCTGTTAAGGCATTCACTACTTCATCTACTACTTCGATGGTAGAATTGACTCCCATTATTCCGATGCGCAGAGACTTGCCAGCTGTTGGTCCTAAACCAGGAAATATTAGAACGTTGTGTCTGAAATAAAAATAATATTAAAAAAATAGAATTATGTAAAGTGGCCATATATAACCTTCTCACAAAGCGTCAATGGATTCTCTGTTAGTATTCGCTACGAAACTAAGTCTTAATTTTTTTTTTAAATACATATTATAACAACCACATCATCGTTTCGCACCTTCAACACTGCTTCCAGTAACTGGTTCGGATATTTCACGTTTTGGTGCAGAATTCTTAGTTTTACAAGGTGAAATATAAACAAAGTTTACCGAAAATCTAGATGGTTACATACCGCCATCTAACGGTAGCCATAAAAACTACCTGACATTTTAGATAATCGCCTCTTACGATACGATCAGAATGAAATGGGACAATGGATTCCCTTGCGCCACTATCACATGACCTCTCTCGCCTCCTCCAGATCCATATACCTACGCATACATGCTCGTCGGTTAAGGGACTCTTAAATTGGCCCAATTTCAATATATCGCAAATTTGGGCGATAAAACTTCGCATAGGGTGTCCCTTCCCGACTCTGCCTTTCACTTCTGCAACATAAATTTGCTTTGTCACTCTTTCCTCATTCATTCTTTCTAAATGACCAAACCACCGAAGCATTCCTTTTTTAATCCTGGTCACAACATCATCTTGCAAACCACACTCATCTCTTATCACACAATATCCCAACATGTCACTCAGATTCAGCCTTAGCATACTCCTTAATGACCGAATTTGTACAGCATTTATTTTACTCTCGTGCTTCTTCTGCCATACCCCAACTTTCACTACCATACATTAAAGTAGGGACTAACACAGCATTGTGAATTGCTATACGTGCCTTTTTGGACATATTCTGACTTTTCACAATAGACTGTAGAGCCCCACATACTCTATTTCCTGCGTTCACTCGTCGTTCTATATTCTTATAATATCCACCATCCCTGCTAAATACACATCCCAAATACACAAGCTCATCTACTTGTTCGACCAACTCCCCTTCTATTCTTATTTCACATATCGTTATACTTTCAAAAACCATAACTTTCGTCTTACTTGCGTTCACTTTCATTCTCCTTTCTTTTAATGACCTGTTGATTAATGTAACTATCATTTGCAAATCGGCCGCCGACGACGCCAATATGACTTGATCATCGGCATACAAAAGTCATTTGACGGTTAAATCACCCATTCTTAACCCTGCATTGTCCATAAATAGGTTGTGCAGCCACGGGTAAGCCACACAACCCTGTCTGACACCTTTATGGATACCAGTACCAGTACCAGTTCGAGTAGGCCCTGTTGATCCTGACACAAGCACTAAAGTCCCTATACAGAGACCTCAATGCCTGTATCAACCCAGCGCTCAACCCAAATGAGTTCAGGTGTTTGCCATAACACATCCCTATCTACTCTGCCATATATCTTCTCCAACTCCAAGAATAATAAAATAAAATTTCATAATTAGATAATATATGAGTATACATAATTCTAATATAATGCAACTAAAATGCCGAATAAAAAAATTAAAATATATTTATAAGTACGCCGTGTGTATTTCCATTTGACGTTGAAAAAATAATACTACGTTCGTACAGTAGGTGGCGTCTTGCATATTTCTTACGCGATATATTGTAGCGAGTCGACGGACCGAATGCTCAAGGTCGTTCGATAGGAGTAACCCCTTAAATGCATATCTGCCCGGTCAGAGGTCGTTGGATTTGGATTAAAATTAAAATAGCTAGAGAACATGTATCATCATCATCATCATCATTACAGCCCTTCACAAGTCCACTGCTGAACATAGGCTTGCCCCAAGAAATACCATGCGAAGCACGGTTCCGAGCCACCTGCATCCATTGACTTCCTGGCATGTCTTACCAGGTCGTCACTCCATCTAGTGGAGGGACGCTCTACACTTCGCCTGCCGGTACGAGGCTGCCACTCGAGAACCTTTCTTCCCCATCGGTTGTCGGTTCTTCTAGCTGTATGGTCGGCCCACTGCCACTTCAGCTTACTAATCCGTTGGGCTATGTCGGTTACTCTGGTTCTACTGCGGATATCCTCATTTCTAAGTTTATCACGCAGAGGAACCCCGAGCATAGCCCTCTCCATAGCTCGCTGAACGACCTTGAGCTTCCTCATACGGGCAGCAGTGAAGGACCACGTCAGATCCATAGGTCATCTGGCAACACGCACTGGTTATGGGGCAACTTTATTGAATCTTTACTAATTAAACAGAAATAGGAAAGAGCCCTTGCACAATATTTGGCTTTTATAAATTAATTATTCTATAATAATTTATATAGGTACCTACTTAGTAATATTAAAGTATGGTGTTTTTTTTTTATAGGAGAGGGGGCAAACGAGCATGCGGCTCACCTGATGGTAAGTGACTACCGCCGCCCATGAACAACTGCAACACCAGGGAGGGAATTGCAGATGCGTTGCCGGCCTTTTAAAAAGGAGTACGCTCTTTTCTTGAAGGTCCCTAAGTCGTACCGGTCCGGAAAAATCGCTGATGGTAATCGATTCCACAAGGAAGTCGTGCGAGGAAGAAAACATCTTCTAAATCGCACAGTGGTGGACCGCCAATCATCCAGATGGTGTGGATGGTATCGGGAGTTCTGTCGCGATGTGCGTTCGTGAAATTTGGCGGCTGGGATTAATCCGAACAATCCGAACAAACCGAATTCCTCAGAGCACTCCCCATGGTAGATGCGAAAGAAAATGCAAAGGGATGCAACATCTTTTAAAGGCAACTTCTTTGAAAGGGCACGGTCGTCGACGATTCGAGCCGCTCTGCGCTGGATGCGGTCAAGTGGAAGGAGCTGGCACTGGGGAGCCCCTGCCCAGAGATGGGAACAGTATTCCATTTGAGGCCGAACCTGCGCCTTGTAAAGTTGCAGGCGGTGTGCCGGCATGAAATACTGTCCCACTCTGCTGAGCACGCCAAGCTTTTTAGAGGTCAATTTGGCCTTCTCTTCCAAGTGACCACGAAACTGCACGTCACTCGATATGTCGACTCCGAGGATACCGATACTGGCTGAGGCAATAAGGGGAGTGCCTTGAAACTGAGGAGATACGACAAAGGGGTTCTTCTTAGCGGTAAACGCGCAAACTTGTGTCTTCTGAGGATTAAACTGGACTAGATTTAGTCGCCCCCAATCCGAGACTTTGTTCAGCAAAGACTCGACTTCAGACACAAGTTTGTCCCGGTACTCGGCGACGTTTTCCCGAGAAATAGTGGCACGGCCGGTGTATAGAGCATCACCAGTGCTGTCATCCGCATAGCAATGAATGTTACCAGTTATCAACATATCATTGATATGCAGAATAAACAGCGTTGGTGATAGCACACAGCCTTGTGGAACACCAGCGTTAATAGGCTTGTAGTCAGAACATGCACCGTCTACAACGACCTTGATGCTCCGATCTGCAAGGAAGCTGGTGATCCAATTGCACAATTTCTCGGGAAGCCCATAAGAAGGGAGCTCCGAAAGAAGCGCTTTGTGCCAAACCCGATCGAAGGCCTTCGCAATATCCAGACTAACAGCCAACGCCTCCCCCTTGGACTCTACTGCCTATGCCCATCATCTATGGGTCAGGTAGACCAGAAGATCACCAGCTGATCGACCCCGACGAAAACCGTATTGGCGGTCACTAATCAGCTGGTGATCCTCAAGGTACCGGATGAGCTGGCAGTTAATAATGGATTCCATTATTTTGGAGAACAAGGAGGTGATCGCGATAGGCCTATAGTTGGACGGGTCTGTGCGGTCGCCTTTTTTAGGGACCGGGTGGACAAAAACTGTCTTCCATGAATTCGGGACTACGCCTTAGGAGTAGGAGTACCGGAAAAAACGCGTTAGGACCGGTGCCAACTCCGGAGCACACGTCCTCAGCACTATTGGGGGGATTCCGTCAGGCCCACTCGACTTCTGGATGTCCAGGGAGAGAAGTACTTTGCGAACCGAGCGCTGTGAGAACAGCACATCCGACATGGAGCACTCATACCGCGGGATTGTCGGCGGTGTTTTCCCCCCGTCATCAAGAGTCGAGTTGGACGCAAAAAGGGAGCCTAAAAGGTCAGCTTTGTCTTTTGCGTCTTGGGCCAGTGAGTCGTCCTCCCTGTGCAGAGATAGTAGTGATGGCTTACAGAAAATCCCTTGGACAGCCTTGGCGAGAGACCAGAATGCACGGGTTCCCGAAGGAAGGCGAACTAGTTTCTCGCCAATTCTGCCTATGTGCTCTGACTTTGTCTTATCAATAACTCTTTTGAAGGACCTGGAGGCGAAGTTATAATTCTTTTTAAGTGTGCTGGTGTTTACATCCCGAGTCGCCGAAGCCGCAGCCCAGGCTTCATAACACTCTTGCTTACTGCGTAATTCAGTCTTACAGGAGCGACCAAACCAAGGCTGAGATCTGCCTCCGATGGGTACCACAGATGATGGAATAAATAGTTCCATTCCCTGTAGCACCACATCAGTGACAGAGTCAGCAACAGCGCTGGGATCATCCGGCGAGAAGCCCCCATGGGTAGGATGGAAAGAAAGACCGCATTCCCTCCCAATCCGCCGACCTGTAATGCCAAACACGGCGGCAACCTGCAGAACGCAACCGCGAAGGGAGCGTGAGTGGCACCACACTCCGGATCAGACAATGGTCCGAAGAGCCGAGAGGGGCATCGACGGAAACTTGATATCCGTCCGGATGAGAGGTCAGCAGAAGGTCCAACAGGGAAGGTGTATGATCCTCCACATCTGGAATTCGCGCAGGCGAAGTAACCAGTTGTGTCAGACCATATGCCAAGGCAAAGTCATAAACAGATCACCCCGCATGATCGGTTAAACGTGAACCGAGCCATACGGCATGGTGGGCGTTAAAATCGCCAAGGATCACGATCTCTGCGAATGGGACCTGTTGTAGCAAGGAATCTGTAGCCATTTGGACGTGGTCGATGAGTCGGTTTGTTTTGGCATTACCGCTATGGGACCTATAGAGGCACCCGTAGACGAGCGGATGGTCGACGCTGTCTACGCGTAGCCAAAGGATGGACAGGTCCGAACCTTCAAGACTGCCGAGGCGTCGAGAACAGATATCCTCTCTGACATACAGGCAAACTCCAGCCCGAGGCACAAAGGAGTGCTCCAATTTGTACCCCGGGTAAGAGAGATACGAAACATCAGCCGGAGAGGAAACCTGCGTCTCGGTCAGAAAGAGCAAGGCCGGCATCGCCGTCTCGAGATGGTAGTGGACGGCGTTTAGATTAGAGTGAAATCCCCTGATGTTGCAGAAATTCACGGATAGCGTGGCAGGGGTCACCTTGGTATTGTTGCTCAGTTTGCCCCGAGCAGTTATGTTTCTGAGCGGAATTTTGCCCCCCCCCCCCCAGAATACGCGGGGCAGCCTGAGCACCCACGCTCAGGATTGGAATAACATGGTCGTGGATGCTCAGCGAGGGATTCTCCAGGGGTACTGGTACCCTCTTGGGGTAGTCTATCGTGTAATTCCGCTACCATGTTGATGGGGGGGAGGGGTTGGGGATTGGGCCTCCGGCCACCTGCACTCACCAGACGAAACGCAGAAGCAGAGCCTCTACTTCACGCCGGTATTCTGTGAGGTCGTGGTACCAACCCGGCTTGAGCCGGCCCTTACGTGCAACAGCAAAAACTGCTGCGTGGCTCTACCACCGTTAGCCGTTGGTGTACTCGTGACTGACACAAAACCAAAGCAAACGTCCACGGATTTTGGAACAGGCATACATAATTTGCAAGTAATATTAGGTCTGACAAACTACAATCAAAGAAGGCTGCTTATTCATCCTTGTGGATTAAAAAGAAATACCTCGCAGCCTATTAACAGACTAGCATAGAGTGGCACAAATAGCCGATAGGAATGTACGACCTGCTCCCAGGCAGAAAAGAAGCAATACCACTGAGAATATCAAAAACATTCACTGTCCGGTTACCAAATGTGGCTCATGGAACAGGGGATGGGTTTAATTAAATCTCATGTAAATCTTGTTATTATCCTGTATATACGAGATACTCGTAGTTACTTACTTTTTAATCATGTATTTGACGACCTCCAAATAATCATAGCCTTTTGGTAGCACCACAGTCGTAACCGTCGTTAAACGATCTTCGGGATTTGGTATCAGGAATTCAAGTGCCATCTGTTGTAGACGCTTGTGGCAGTATGCAGTGGTTGCCGCGTGTCTCGCCCAAGCCTTTGGCAACGTCTCTTTGCACACTTCTTGGAGGCAACAGCGCAGTGCCCAGATAAGCGGAGGCGATAGTGTATGATGGTAGCTACAAATATAAGAAGAGAAACTTATGTTGCAGAAACTGAAAATAACTTTTAGGCGTTTTTTAATTATATACACAAAATATTAATTAGTCCTCACAGGTGACAACGCACCTGCATCTGTCTTTATTGAGGATCGATATAGATGTCTATGGGTTACAGTAACCACTTACTATCAGGTGGACTGCGTTTGCGTTTGTCACCCAATCCTATAAAAAAAATTAATCACTACGTTTATCAGTCATTGAATGTTTAGTCATTGGTTTATCTATAAATAAAATTAAAGCCTCTGTTTGTAATATTGAAATAACTGGCTTCTATTAAGTCAGGGTATTATTTGCAAGCCATTAAGACGTAATTAATAGAATCAGGCGTTACTTTGCGGAAGTCCATTATATAGACGTACATCCGCTAGATAAATTATCTAGCGGATGTACGCAAAGTAATTGTTTGTCAAATTTAACATTAAGACGTAAATAACCATTTTTTTTTTATTTTTGTCTGTCTGTCTGTCTGTTCGCGCTAATGTTCAGAATGGCTGAACCAATTGAGACGAAACTTAACGAATAGATAGAGAACAACGATAAGAGTGATCTATGTTAGGAGGCCTCCGAAGTACTTGGGGGTTTATTTTTGTATGAAGTAACAAATTGATAAAATAAATGATCATTGATATTTATCCAAAAAAAATTACACTACATTAGTAGATCTCACCCAGGCGAAGCCAGCACGGGTCGCAGTATATTTGTAAGATAACTTTTAAAAATAAAACTAAAAGGTAGGATAAGTTTTACAGACTATAAATGAATTTACATATTCATAAAATCAACATCAACTGTCTAGTAACTACGAGTTTTAGGTGAATTTATGTTTTTCTGGTTCATATAGAAAACGGGTATAAGAGTCAATACCCGTTTTGAGCGTTGGGTAATAAGGTAGGACTAGTCTGCGTAAATTATTTATCTAGTCATTTATTTAATTACGATTGAATTTAGCTCGTTTGATGCTAGCACCAATAACTGATACTGAACGACTAATAAATCTGCTAGCCGGATAAATATCTCCACCTTAAGTTTAATCTCACTCCTCAATATGCCTTTTACATACACTTTTCATACTTAAGCTTATCCCGTTCAATGACCCACGTAACTCTGTCTCGATGCTTAAATCCACATAGTACTCAGATTCCTTTAGGGTATCATCAATTACACTTTGGAATAACCATCCACGAGTTATATATTATATATGTCGAAGAATTACAACAGAAGATCCCGATTTTGATCGGAGCGAACGCATCGGACATTAGGAGAGCGTTAACTGTTCAAAATAATAAAAGTGTGAGAGCGGATGTTCAACTTGCTCTCTTGCTTACGCAGTTTAATCATTATCAGTAATAAGACAGCGTAACGCACTATACATTCAGTATAGTGAAATTACAGTTCGACCACACCATAACACGTCTCCGCCACAATCACACACCAGTGTAACGTGAGGTACGTAATTACATGATAACACCAAAATATGTACAGCAACAGCAACACTACTTATCTCAATGTAACACAGGGCAGCAACACCAATCCTCCTTGCCTGCACTAGAGGAATTACAACAACGAACAGAACCACAACACTATCTTAGCACTAGTAGAATGACCACACCTGTTTAATGACTTAAGCGGAATCTCTCGCGCACGGCACCTACAGTGAACTTTATACTGCACAAGCAAGTGGGAGTTTCTCGATATACCCTCATGTCTACCTCGATCCAAGTGATATTTTATGGACGCTCCGACATATATGTATGTATATGTGTAACTATGAGTTCTATTCTATTCTATCTACCTATCTATACCTTAAAACTTTTCAGCCAAAAACTATAAACTATTATTTTTTTGGTTTTAGCGCTAGTGAAGGTTAGCGTTCATAATCTGTACCGTTTATAGTACTGCGGAAGATTTATTATTGAATTGTAAATGCGAAGTAAGAGAATAAATCATTAATACCTTTTCATTTCATGGGTATTATACGAATGGACTCAAAACATTTTCAAAATAAAATGTTAAGTGATTCATGGTGGTGTGAAAAATTGATAGATTATACGAATTATCGCGATGAGAGCCTATGTACTGATACAGATAATAAAAAAATTAAATAAGGCCACTCCGTGGTACTAAGTTTGTTCTTGTATTTTAAAATTTGGGACTTACCAGGAATATACACTCCTACTTGATCCAGGATCTATATGGCAGATATTACAAGTTGTTAGTCTATTTATATAGATTTAAAGTAGCATGTTATACCTACAAACTTATTTATTTATTTAATCTTTATTGCATTCGGTGGTGGCGGTGGTGAAAATTTGACGTAGGTGAGGCAATATAGACAAATAAACTGAAATAAAGTAATAATACAAAATGGCGTTTGTATTGAACTGCATATAATATAAATAATACAAAATTATTTTACGACCCGCCCAGACTTCACCTGGATAGGACCTTAAGTCAAAGACCATTTATTTTATCGATTAGTCGTTTAATCAAAAAATATTTTCAATTTCAGTCTTTAAGTTTGTTCATAAAATTTCATCATAATCGGTTCAACCATTCCGAAGACAAGGTTAGATAAGATAAGATCCTTAAAAGACAAATAATTTTAAAAATGTTTATTTATGTCTTAATGCAATAATGCGCACGCACGCACGCACGCACGCACGCACGCATGCACGCACGCACGCAAGCACGCACGCACGCACGCTCGTACGTTGATATTAAATATTATGATGTACTGTCTTGTTAAGCTGAACGCACATTTGTCCGCGCCGTACGCACCGTACACGCCGAATTTTACTGATAGCCTCCCACATTTGCACGTACGCAACATCCGCGCCGTACGCAAATCTTTTGGATTGCCAAGAATTCTTGCAGTTTTTTCCAACCACTGGAGTGAAACGGGTAAACATTAAATATATTAGATTGAAGACATTTATCGCTCGGAATCACTATGAAAAAAATTATTGTAATAGCCTGCTTATTGACAGAGGAAGAAGAAAACAAAATTCGAAGAAAAAGAAGATTCTGGTATTAATTTAAAAAGGGAATTGTATGGAGAGTACTATACTTTATTTAAAGACTTGTTATATGATGATAAACAATTTTTTAGACATTTGCAATTGTTACATATATTAAAACCATATCTTTCTATGGAAAACTCAAGATTTAGAAGGCCAATTGAACCAGAGGAAAGACTTGGTGTATGTTTGAGGTAAGTATTTTTATTGATAATTAAGTAATCAGGTATTATTGGGTTTTTGAATTAAAATTCACTTAACACCGCAGCGTACACTTAACACTTAAAAAATATTTTTCGAAACAAAAGTCGGAACCACCAGTTTTAGTGGAAAATCCACTAAGTTGGCAACATAAGACAACACTGAGTATCAACACGCGCCAAACGCGCCGCGTTATATGAAGTCATCAGCATTCGTCCTTCGATATCATATACCTACCCCATTTTATAAAATACGGCGCGTACGGTACGGGTGTAATGTGCGAGGTTTCATATGATTTCATACAACGAATTCTAAAATTCAGCGCGTACACCGCATACGGCGCGTGTGGCGTGTACGGTGCGGACAAATGTGCGTTCAGCTTTATAAAAAGGGGTTCACGAACCACCTTTAAAAAGCGTACTAATTGAGTGCTCTCCTGATGTCGTCAGTAACCAGAACGGTGAAGGAGTTTAACCCAGTAAAGTGAATAGGAATATAAATTTGTACAGAAGTACTGATAGAAATTATTATACCATTGTAATAAATAGGAGGTAAGCCTACATAATTCAAAAGAGCAAACACCGTTGGACTAACCAGGAACTCTACCAGTAGACCAGTTGATAAATCATCTTTTACTTTTTAAGTCTTTTTCATTTATAAGCTAGCTGTAGGTCGTCGTATACAAATGCTGCAATCAAGGTTGCGTTTTTATACAAGGCAGGCATAGACCTTAGCGTTATGATTTCAACAAGATTGGCTAATTCATATTTGCTTAATAATACCCTCTGGCCTTAGGAGCATTTAAGAAAACCTAAAGGATGAAAAGGAATGACATATTTTCGCAAGCCACAATCACGTTGGGTGTTAGTATTTTTAAAAGAAGTAAAGGAAACAAACGAGTACGTAATCCACCTAATGGTAAGTAGATACTCTGGTCCATAGATATCTAATCTATGATAAATATATAATATATAATAAAACTATAATTAAGTAAGAATCAAAATGCAGAAGCGTTGTCACCCCCGATGATTAGGATGGAATGCACTTTATAAACTGGGGACCTTCTGGGAAACCGAAGCCCTTCTTCGGTCGAGTCTAAGCATTTGCGATGTAGCCATAATAAAGCTGCAGCGTAGATCTATTGAGTTTCAATTATATATAAGAAAACTCAATTTAAAAAAAATGGCGTAAAAACAATGGTCAAACGAAAAAAATGAGGTAGGTAACTAAAATTATTATATATACCAACGTAAAATAGCAGCTTAATGATGCTGTGTTTCGTATGGTGAGTGTAGAGAACTGGAGACCCCTTTTACTGGAAAAGAGGCATTCTACCTTAGTCCTCACGGGTGACAAGTGACAACGCATCCGCATTTTGATTCGTAATCGAGGATAGATCCAGATGTCTATGGGCCACAGCAACCACTTACCATTAGGTGAACTGTGTGCTCGTTTGTCACCCTTATCCTATAAAAAAAATTAATACAACTACAATTATAAGCAATACCAAATCACAAATATAAGCAAAATTACGACACAGAATATATAATAGGAAGGATGGAATTCATATAAGTATCAATATTTCTCTAAGATATATATTATGAAAAATATTTTAGTATTAACAACAGATACTTACGATCTTGTATTCCCGTAGCAATTCCACTGCTTCGCCAGTAATTTGATATCGAAGTAAAAAGGCGGGTCGTGCTTTCTATTATTTATTTTCTCCCTGAAGCAATAGATTATATTGATATTAGCTTCGCACACATGAAACAATAAAAGGTAAATCCGTCAAGACGCGCTTCAATCACGTTCAAATAATTGTAATAGTTTACTTATGGGGCTGATTGATATTGTATCTCGAAGTAATATGTAGAATAAATCAAATAATTTATTAATGTTTTATTTATTTGTTTTCCTTACTAATATTAAATAGATAACATCACATAGCAACTGCAATTTAAAGTTCGTTCATCATAACTTAATGCACCATTGATTTTAATTGTTCCCTCTATATTTTATGTTACATTCTAAATATTCAACTTGCTTTAAATTTTACTGATATTTATTTTGAGAAATTACAATTAGAACCTTGTGAATCTATAACTAAGCTAATAGGTATCTATTGTTATATGGTTGTAGTAGGTAGACATGAGATTTATATACAAATAAAGATATTTATTATTATTATTATTATTAATTATTTTTCATTAATAATACAATAATTTTGTTTGCCGTGTAGTGGCGGTTAAGAATATCCACTACCCCATATCTTCCCGTGGGTGTCGTAAAAGGCGACAAAGGGAAACAGGCAGGAGATGGGCAGCAGCATCTTCCTGATAACAGCAAAATTACAATAAAAAAACTGCGGTTGTCAACCCGCTCTCCAAGCATGGCAACTATGGCAAATACCCCCCTATGATGAGAGTAACAAAGAGACGGCCCCCAGTCCCCGGCGGCCCCGCTATTCCTGGCTACAGTGACGACCATGGTAACGGCGGGGCAGGGGATGCTAAGAATCTCTGATGGAGGTTCGGTTGCCACCTAAAGCGACTCGACCTGGCAACATACAACGCATGCACCCTGAGGACAGCCGAGAAGATCGTTGAGCTGGAAGAAGAGATAGACAAGTTATGCTGGCATATTATAGGATTATCCGAGGTCCCAAGAGAGGGGGAGGATTTATCGCCGGGAGGGCGACCATCTGTCTCAAGGAGGTGTCGGATTTATCGTTCACAAGTCTCTCGTTAACAACGTTGTAAAGATTGAGAGTGTGTCGACGAGGGTTGCGTACCTTATACTAAGAATCACCAAACGGTATTCGCTGAAGGTCATACAGGTTTACGCACAAACCTCGGCACACCCCGATGAGGAGGTGGAAGAAATTTATGAGGATATCTCTAGAGCCATGCATTCCTCCAAAACCCAATATACGGTGTTAATGGGAGACTTCAATGTAATACTAGGCACAAGTGAGAACGGTGAGCTGAAAGTTGGGAAATTTGGAATAGGGCAACGGAACACAAGGGGCCAGCAGCTGGCCAACTTCATGGAGAAAGAGATGATTCTCTTTATGATGAACTCTTTCTTCCAGAAGCGGCCCCACAGGAAGTGGACCTGGTCGAGCCCCGAAGGTTCGACAAAAAATGAGATTGACTTCATTATGACGACAACTGTTCAGTGATGTCTCCGTGATCGCGAGTGAAAACTGGTTGCGATCACCGAATGGTTAGAGGCACACTGAACCTAATCGTTAAGTTGGAGAGGCCTGGTTTAATGAAGTCAACGCTCTGTTCCACTCGTGCTCTGTTCCAAAGCCCCGAATTCTTTCAGCTCGAGTTACAAAACCGTTTTTAGTGCCTAGAAGACTGCAATGAAGTGCACGATATGAATGACAAGCTCATGGAAACTGCCCAAGCGGTTGGAGCTAAGTTTTGCAAGACCCACCACAGAAGAACACAAAAACTCTCCGATCACACTCTTATTCTCATGGCTGTTAGACAGGAGATGAAGCTACATTCTTCAACAGATTTGACAGCATACAGAAAACTCAACAGAAAAATCTCCAAATGTATGCGGCGGGACTTACGCAACTTAAATACAGCTTGTATTGAAGAAGCGATCGACCGGAACCGAGGTTCCAAACTCTTTGCCAGAGTTCTGTCTGCCAGAAAGAGCCAACCGTCAAAGCTGAAGACCGAGTGTGGCAGCATCGTTTCCGGGACACCAGAGATTTTGAGTGAGATTGAGAGGTTCTATGGGCAGCTGTACACGTCATCGTTGGAGCCACAACCAAGTGTGAGTAACGATCCAAGAGCGAGTCTAAACCGACACTATTCCGGAGATATCCCGGACGACAGTCCGAGCGAGATTAGAATGGCTCTCCAGCACCTTAAAAACGGTAAGGCCCCAGGCGAGGATGGAATTACAGCGGAGCTTCTGAAAGCGGATGGAAGACCGGTACTTGAAGTCCTTCAGAAGCTCTTTAATTCCGTCCTCCCTGGTAGCATTACACCGGAGGCGTGGAGCAGAAGTGCGGTGGTCTTGTTCTTCAAGAAAGGCGACAACGCTCTCTTGAAGAACTACAGACCGAAATCCCTTCCGAGCCGCGTCTACGTGCTGTTTTCGAGAGTCATTACGAATCGTCTTGAACGCAGACTTGACGACTTCCAGCCTCCCGAACAAGCCGGTTTCCGAAAAGGCTTTAGTACCATAGATCACATACACACCCTTCGGCAAATTGTACAGAAGACAGACGAGTACAAGCTGCCACTTTGCCTTGCGTATGTGGACTATGAGAAAGACTTTGATTCCGTCGAAGTTTGGGCGGTGCTGCAGTACCTTCAGCGGTGCCAAGTTGACTGTCGGTATATCGAAGTGCTGAAGTGTTTGTACAGTAGAGCTACAATGGCTATCCGAGTACAGAATCAGAGTACGAAACCTATCCAACTGCAGAGAGTTGTAAGACAGGGTGACGTTATATCCCCGAAACTCTTTACCGCTGCATTGGAAGACGTTTTCAAGCTGCTGGACTGGAAAGCATGCGGTATTAACATCAATGGCAAGTACATCACTCACCTTCGATTTGCTGACGATATAGTCCTTATGGAAGAATTGATGGAGGACCTAAGCACTATGCTCAATGACCTCAATAGTGTTTCCCAACGGATAGGTCTTAAGATGAACATGGACAAAACAAAAATCATGTTTAACGTCCAGTTGTTGGGAGCACTAAGCTTGAAGTTGTTGACGAGTATGTTTACCTGGGACAAATAGTTCGACTAGGTAAGTCCAACTTCGACCGAGAGGTCAATCGACGGATTCACTCGGCTGGGCAGCGTTCGGGAAACTACGACACATCTTCTCGTTAGACATACCTCAAAACCTTAGAACGAAATTGTATAACCAGTGCGTTTTGCAAGTGATGACTTACGGATCTAAGACTTGGTCCTTCACTGCTGGCCGTAGGAGAAAGCTCAAGGTCACTCAGCGAGCTATGGAGATGGCTATGCTCGGGGTTTCTCTGCGTGATGAACTTAGAAATGAGGATATCCGCAGTAGAACCAGAGTAACCGACATAGCCCAATAGATTAGTAAGCTGAAGTGCCAGTGGGCTGGCCATAAAGCTCGAAGAACCGACAGCCGATGGGGAAGAAAGGTTCTCGAGTGGCAGCCTCGTACTGGTAGGCGAAGTGTAGGGCAACCCCCCACGAGATGGAGTGATGACCTGGTAAGACACACAGAAAGTCGATGGATGCAGGTGGCTATGGGCCGTACTTTGTGGCATTCATTGGGGGAGGACTATGTTCAGCAGTGGACTTATGAAAGGCTGTAATGATGACGATGATGATGAATACAATAAATGGTGAAATTTACAAAGTATTTGCATACATATAAGATATGTTTGATTGCAACTGGCAGACATTTCCAAGTGTTTGCTATATGATAGTTATTAAAGGGCTATAAAATTTTAAATTAACACAAATATGTGAATATTGATATGTCATATTTAAATATAATTGGAATTTAAGAGAAAAATATTAAATCTGCAATATAAGTTTTTAAGGAAGGACAGTATACTTACTCGGCCCGAGCACTGAATGCCACAGCAGATATACCGGCTGGGCCGCTTAAAGCTTTCTGCGTCGATGTGTAGACTCCATCCACTCCCCACGCATCCATAAAGAACGGAACACCGACTAGGGAGACAACTGTGTCTACTAGAAGCAATGTACCATATCTGTAACAGAAGCGTAATTAAAAGGTGCATACAATCGAAAATGTATACAAATAAATAAATACGTACAGTTTTAATGTTTTTAAAGGAATTAAGGAATATAATGTTCATCTGTAATGACGAATTTGAGCTATGGATGCTGCAGACGTGAAAACGATAATGTTGTTCTGAAACAGAACATTTTCATAGAACACAATGACGTAAAAACGACGAAAAAATTTTGTTAATGATCGAAAATGCAACGAGTTTTTGCATTATGTGTAGGTTCTTTCAGCTCTTGAACCATTTGCTATCTAGTGACCTATAAAAGAGTTATAGGTAATTATTGCCTTGTTATTGCGATAGAAAATCAAGCACCAACGTAGTAACTGTCTGTAATTTTCCTGTTCAATTATATAAAAGAAAGTTTAAATATAATTTATAAAGAAATCGTTGAGCAGAAGCGGTTAATAGAAACCGCTGTCCATTATTTCAATTTCGTCCCCATAGAATTATTAGGCAGTCTCATTACTCTATGTTCATCCCTTTTTGTGGATGCTACTTTTGCGATAGAGGATACATGTAAAGGAAATTCTTCGAAGCTGAGACTTGATACTTTGGTCAACAACTGGCATACATTTCAGGGAAGACTTGTTCATAACCGCCTTGCTAAGCAGGCAGGTTCGCAAAGCGATGCAGCCAATCTCCTCGCGCCGGAAAATGCTGTTTTTCATAACCGTTTGTGAAACCCATCTTTTTTTACTATTTAATATTATTATTTAAAGATATACATTTATACTATTCAAATAGAAAGACTAAAATCAAAACAAATCAAAGACAGTTTAAATGTAAAGATCTAGGTTTTAAAGATCTTTCGCGAGTTTTTGTTTGGCCAATAGCTTTTTTCTCAAATCACATTTCACTCTATTTTACTTTAGCTGTTGTAAACTGCTTTGTAGACTGCTTCATACCATGTTAAAAGAGTTTTCATTTTTAAAATTGATACTGTTGTTAGGATGCTCGTTGCAAAAAGTCGAAGCGAGCGTGAAAAAGATTGATGATATAATTAAATTGTCTGGCGCTCGAGTCTCGTCTCTCGCCTAATTCAACCCTAACAGTCGTCGCATTAATGTGGCCATCGGGAGGGATCAATATGAAATATTAAACTTAATGTATATTTATGCTAAATAATAATTCAGATTTTATTTAATATAATTTATTTATGAGAATTTTAAGTGGTAATTAAAAAGATTTTATTTAAATTCAAAATGTAGAATGCTTAATTAGTTTCCCTGCGGGTAATATGTGGGCTTTTAAGAGCGTATTCTTATAAGTCAGGTCATAAATAAGATGTGTATACCTATCATACAATACAGCTTATATATGACATGCCTTACCGAGCTATCACTGACCTTTCTTATGCCCATAATACATGCTCATAATGTCCTATCCACTTTTACTATATTTTTCTATTTCCCGGCCCTTATCTATCCATTAAATAATGTTGGTATAAAAGTCTGACTATCCTAAAAGCTGCCTTTATACCAAGTTCAGTCCAACAGCATTGATAGATGAAAGGAATGACAACCTATTTAGAAATGTTTAGAGATGCGATGGATGCAGGTGCCTTAAGGATCAGAATCCTGTTTAATGGTAGCCCAGAGGCAAGCCTATGTTCAGCACTGGACTTGTAATAGGATGTAATGATGATGATGACAGTAATCAAATTTTTGATAATTGATCTGGTAGCATAAAAAGAAAGTATTAAATTTTGTTCATATTTCTTGCAACTTTCGATTAAGCACAAGCTCAAGGAAGCACATATTAACTCTGTGTTATCTATTTATATGTCTATAGTGTTATCTGCGCGATGGTAAGGAATTAGGCGATTATTCTGTACGCCGATACAGACGATATGATGTAGTGGATATTCTTACACTGCCACTACACAATATAAAGTGAAAAAAGTTCGGCGTGTACAAATCAACGTGTACTTTTGTATTATGTCTTTATTTATTATCATACTAGCTGGTCCCCGCGACTTCGCCCGCGTAAAATTTATTACGATTGGATTTCATGGGTTTCAATTTTTTTTTGCGCGGAACCCTTATTCTTTTTCTAAAATAAAAGTAGCCTAAGTTACTCCTTATAAAATCAGCTATCTGTTAGGGAAAGTCCCGTCAAAATCGGTCTAACCGTTTCGGAGATTAGCCGGAACAAACAGACAGACAAACAGACAGAGAGACAGACAGACAGACAAACATTTTAAAAATTGTTTTTTTTTTGTTATACTTTCATATGCATTTGGTAAAAAGCTGTTATTTTAACATTACAAACAGACACTTTGTAATGTTAAATTTTTTTTATACTTAAAATTTTACTTATTTGTATAGATTTTCTCATTAGAAATACTATGTCAATATTTCTTATCCTAGTCTATGATAGCTGTTAGTTTAGTATACATATAACGCTGTGTCTGTGTGATCACCGAATCTTCATATTCACTCAAAGTGGCAACGATATACTTGTTTACAAAGCCGCATTAGCCACCGTTATACGTATATATTACGTTACTGCTTTATTAACGAAGAAAATCGTTAAATTTAAAAATAATGGTAAAAAAAGAGAATACGTGCAAAATCGGATCAAACTTGGCGTAGGCTGGCGCTTAAAAAAAGGGATACACAATACTAAACTCAAAGAATTGGTTAGAAAATACAAATTTTTATAAAACGTATCTCTAAATAGATCAACATATATTGAATTATATTTTAACGAAATTGACTCCATATATTTTAAAGCATTGAGAATAATCATCAATTCTGTCTCATCAATATTCTATTCAAATGTATTGCATTTCGACGCGGTTTTTCTGTCTTTCTTCTGTCCCTGTTTTGATGTTATTTAAGATTTTTACGCCAGCATGTGGTCAAATCGGTCATATACATGATTAAGGATAATATGAGTCAAATGTACAAACTAAACTGTCTAGATCTCTCCTAGTTTTCTCATATTTCTATGGCTCGTATATCTATAATTATTTACATATTATTTTGTAATAGCCATAGACTTCTCTATGTCTATGGTAATAACAGTCTTACATTGACCTAAGTGACAGTTGAACGAGTCAATAATTCACGCGCCCCGAAAAACGCTCTCCACTGAGGCCATAAACATGAATCATTAAATATCAAAATATTCACTACTTAGCTCCCTAACATTTTTAACTAGGTGTTATAGTTGCACAGTAAGCCACGTACTGCAGCCAAATAATTATTATCCTTGTAGATATTAATATTAAAAGTGTAATTTAAAGAAAGAACAAAGTAACATAAATTAGAAGAATGAAATCAATTTTTAATTTATTCGGTCTCATACACGCACTTGGTCGATTTTCATCCGCCTTTTTGGCCATGAGAAAAATAACATCCAGTACGTTGCAAGAAGTAAGCGGATTTTCGGAAACAAGACAGCTTGTCATGCAGAGCGAACGACGGTCGGGTCGGGTCGCACGTGACTTTGCTAGTTTTCAACTAGATAACTATCCAATATTCCTTGCTAACATAATATACAAGCTGCGCACCCTAGTATGTTCGTGTGCATTTTTATATTTACGTAAATCTAAAATTTTTCAGATATTTACCAACGTTCTTGGCACGATACCATGGGGCGTAGGACTGTGTGATAATTTAAGTATTTAGTTTTAGTTTTTTATGTGGATATTTAAACGATTACACAATTATTCTAATATTATTTGTGACTCGTAAATGAGTCCACACGACCCTGGTTGTGTATATCCATTTAAAAGGAGGGCAAGATATTCTTCTGTATTACCACGTATGTGTATGGTATATCTTATTAAAATTAATATGTATGTATTTATGATATTTTATATTATAAGATACTACTAAATAATTGCGGTCGAGGCTAAGATTTATTTGCTGCTTAAGTAAAAAAAAAATCATAAGTCTACAAATTAATTGGTACCAATGCTTCACAATTATTTAATATCATTGCCTGCTTGATGTTCAGCTTGTAAGATGCATAGAGATGAGAAGGCTGCATTCATTGATCTCAAATATAACAAACATAAACACACAGGCCAGTAATAGGAAAAAGCGTTAAGTTGTGAAACAGTGTTTTTTTTATAGGATAGGGTGACAAACGAGCACACAGTCCACCTGATGGTAAGTGGTTGCTGTGGCCCATAGACATCTAAATCTATCCTCGTTTGCGAATCAAAATGGGTCACCGGTTCTCTACACTCACCATACGAAACACAGCAGTGTTAAGCTGCTATTTTATGCTGTTTTTCTGTGAGAGCGTGGTCCTTCCCCGGTCGAGCCGACCCATTCCTGCTACAACTATACTACTAATATAGCTGAAGCATGGCTCTACCACGTAAAAAAATATAGGGTGATGTTGTAAGTATTATTAATTACTATTATTTACTTTTATGCTTCATCTTCAGAGTAATAGATCATGGAAGAGATTTAATTCATCATCTGCTTTGTTATATAATTATCATAACATCAAAATATTTTGTTAATTAAACCTCGCGGACGTCTTTTTATTAAGTCTTGCTTTGTTTGGGTTAGGTTAGGCTTGTTGATAACTGATTCACTTCAATGAACAGTTATGTTTACTTTAATTTCATATACATATCATTGTTATGCTCTTAGGATTCGACAAATAGTTTTAATTGGAAAATTGAAAACATCAACCTCGCCATGGATATACTCGTATATTGCAGAGGTATTTTTAATAAACGCACGAATAGTTTATTATTTAGTTATAACTGAATGAAATAAAATAAACAAAAACAAAAAGAAATGTGACAAATATTACATAAAATAAAGTAGAAGCGGTAAAAAATAATTCTATACAAAACGTGTAATATTTTTTATTTGGTGCACAATCATACGTTTCGGACTCTAATCAAATGTATAGTTCATATTTTGAATTGCCTAATATAATATATAATATTGTATATTTACATAAAAATGAGACATACTTGTGACAAAGCTCTCCAAGGCCTTCAATTTTCTGCACAGTTCCTGTAGACGAATCCCCATGAGTGATAAAAAGCGCTGCCGGACGATATTTACTCAGCTGCGTTTCGAGTTCCGTCAATGAGAAGGATCTGTTATATGGTATGCGGTAAGCGACTGCGTTGATTCCTACAATTATACGAAAAATGAATATTGAAAAAGTTTTCAAGTAGACAATATTTAATTAATAGAATCAGGCGTTACTTTGCGGAAATCCATTATATAAAAGATTTTAGAAAAATTTACTTTTTTCGTTTTTTAGAAAAAATTTTTTTTTAGAATTTTTTTTTTAAAATTTATAGAAAAATTTGCGGATATTTGCGAAGTAAATTTTTCTAAAAGCTTTTAGACAATATTTATTTTACAATGAACAAAGATGTTTTGTTCAGAAGTTGATTACGTTTGTTACCAATATCTATTTTACTTTTAATTTCAATTTGTGACTGGATCACCGAGTCTACTTTAAAAAAAATAAACGAGGATAGTAAAACATTAGTACTTATAGAATAAGAAAGGCCGAGTGAGATATTCCTAAGCGTCTTATTTAATTATATCGGCCTCTTTTCTTTTAGTAAATTAAAAATATGCAGCCTGCAACAATCCTCTTTTGGCTACAACCCCTTACAAATTGGTTAACGGTTGATAGCAACATTTACACTCACTGTAATAATAGGTCGGGGAAAAAGTTTCTTCTATCTGGCTGGGTTTAATGTATATACACATAGGGTATTAATAAAAAGAAAAAAAAACACTTCTCGCCGTTTTTCAATTGTTTTCTGTCCGACAAAATGAGTAAATCTAACGAAGAAATTCGATACATTCTGAAGTTTTATCACAAAAAAGGGCAATAATGTAACTCAAGCCGCGAAAAATATTTGTGAACTTTATGGACCGAATGCAGTGTCAGTAATACAATTATGTTATTATCGCAATGTATGTGGTCGGTCCTTCGTGAATACTTCGTCACTTCGTGCGAAGTTTCAAATACATCGATTCGCTGTAGGTAAATTCTCGCACTTCAAAGGGTTTTATCGCGTTGGACTTCGCGTGAGCGGCACACTTCAGTCTGCCCACAGACATCGTGCGTACCGGATGTGTCAAAGTAAATTAGGGTTTGCGACACATTTCCGACATGGTTTGGTATAATAAAAAAAATTTGGAATTTATAAATAATTACGAGTCCGAGCCGATATCATTTATATATTTTTTAAAAATTGTCACATAATAAAAAATAATTATACACTGCCATATAATATAGAGCGACCGTGGTGTTTTTTTTAGCGTGTGTTTAGCGCGATAAAATTTACGCAGTAGACGCGCAGTGAGGCCAGGCACCTTCTCGCTAAGGCGAAGACTAAGTTTTATCGCAATAATTCTATCACGATGTGTATAACCGCGGCATAAGAGTAGCACAAAGTTGGTTCGAGCGTTTTCAGTCCATGAATTTTGATGTCAAAAATGCAGCTCGCTCTGGTCGCCCTAAGCGGATAAAGTCGATGCCATTTTTGAAAAAATGGATGAAAATTGGCATATCAGTCGTTACGACATAGCCGAGGAATTGAGAATTGACCACGAAATAGTTTTCACCCATTTGAAAAAGTCTGGCTGTACAAAAAAAGCTCGATATTTGGGTACCACACGAGCTCATTGAAAGAAACCTAATGAATCGTGTAATCATTTGCGATTCTCTATTGAAATGTAATGAAACCGAACTATTTTTGAAAAGATTGATCACTGATGATAAAAAGTGGATCACGTACGACAAGAACATGAGAAAAAGATCACGATCAAAGGGTAGTCAAGCTCCACAGACTGTAGCGAAACCCGGATTAACACGCAATAAAGTAATGCTGTGTGTATGGTGGGATTGGAAGGGTATCGTTTATTATGAGCTTTTACCGCCGGGCAAAACCATCGATTTGGACCTCTACTGGCACTAATGAGACCAAGAAATTCAGAACAAGACAGTCGGAATTGATCAAGAGAAAAATAGTGATTTTTCATCATGATAACGCCAGACCACACACATCTTTGGCCACTCAGAAAAAATTGAGAGAGCTTGGTTGGGAAGTGTTAATGCATCCAGCATATAGTACTGACTTTGCACCCTCAGATTTTCACCTGTTTCGGTCTGTTCAGAATTCTTTAGGTACTGTTAGGTTAACACCAAGAGAGGACTGGCAAAACTACTTGTAGCATTTCTTTGATCAATAACCCCAAGAATCCTACAACAACGGGATTATGTCACTACTACTACTACTACTATATGTAAAGAAATGTCTTGAATTTGTATATAAAATACGAAGAAACTTAATATATCTCGCATTTTTGATACTACAATATTGCCTTCTTGTATAATAGGTATTCTATGCTTGCACCTATTTGTCGTTGTTATTACAAAAAAGCTTTCTTGAACGTGGTAAAGCCATGCTGCAGCCATATTAGTAGTATAGTTATAGCACGAATGGGTCGGCTCGACCGGGGAAGGACCACGCTCTCACAGAATACCACCGTAAAATGGCAGCTTGATACTGCTGTGTTTCGTATGGTGAGTGTAGGAACCGGAGACCCATTTTATTAGAAAAGAGGCATTCCATCTTAGTCCTCACGGGTGACGACGTAGTTAGTTACTTGGCTTTCGTATCATATAAGCGTTGAAGGTTATAAGGGAACATTACCAATTTGCTCATGATTTCAGAAAGCCTTATGTTTTTGGAGAGATTATACATTTTTGAAATAAAAACTTTTCTTAAATACGTATTAACCTAAGATTAAAAAAATCTTTAATCTTAAAAAGTCACATGATATAATATTTAAATTAAAATATTCTAAGCCTTACAAAATACTAAAAAATAAAAGCAACTTAAGCATTAACTTCTAGCATTAAACAAAAAAAAAAACAATAGAAGATTAACATTATTAGCTTTATTTATTTATTTTCTTTATTGTAGTAAGTTTGACTATTTTACCCGGAGCAATCTACGCAATCTGCTAGTCTAATTTCAAATGGGCTTAATCTCTAAAAATAAATTGTAATATCTGAAATTGCTAACTTGAAAGTTATCTACGGTCCTTAAACATAATTAAAATATAAATATATATATATATATATATATATATATAGGTATATCTCTTGTGCTGTCTAGAGCCAACTAAAATCTGACTCTTGACAAATGTCGGAATAATCATTTAGTACCTATTATACTCGTACTAAGCCAAAAGGATTCAGACTTGGTACTTTAAAAGGTGATATTACGTCTAAAATCAAATAGTTTGCTAAGCATGGAGATTATAGAAATTAATATCTGGGCTGATAAATACGATGAAAATAAACGTAAATTACCATATCTTTTTGCCATTTCGTAGGCGCGTTCATCCCAGATACCTCTGGTTGCAATGAGCATTGTTTCATCCGGTGCCACTAGGTTGCTTATTAAAGCTTCCATGCCCGTGTGACCTGAACCACTCATCGCCAGTACTAGGTTGCTTTGCGTTTGAAAAAGATATTTCATTCCAGCTCGAATGTCGTCGAGTACCTAGGGAATTTATGGAATATAAAGTTTTGAAATAATTGAGTTTTCAACATCTTGTAAATTTATAGATTAATAGATCCAGACGTAACACGACTTTGACTGTAAATGTTTTACAACTTTTATATAAGATTTGCATACATATAATATTATGTATGTCTATGAAACTGGCGTTATAAGAAATTTTAAAACTAGTAAAAAATATTACGGTAATTAATTTATGAACAAAAATATTATCTGTTGCACTATTTCAAATTTTTATACAATAACTTATAGGTTGAGGATAAATAAAGTGTTTAATAAGTACTTAACGATCTTCTTTTCGATCTTTCTCTCTTTCTTCTAGTGTTTCGACAGGTTTCATATATAATATAAAGTGACTTACATTGAACAATTCATCGCAAAGAGGTGATAGTACAGGTTTAGTTAGTGCTTCAGCCACTGAGGGCCAAACGTCACAGGGCCCAGGGCCACAAAGCAGAGGTTTCTTGAATTGACGATCAACAATTTTAGGCGCAGGCACGGTCAAATTTGTAGAGTACATCCTCAAAACGAATTCTGTAAACAACAAAGTTGTGACACATAGTAGTAAAATGTTTTTGGAACGAAGTTCTTTATCGGACGGTAAGAATTTGGCGTATGGGGGCTAGGCGACAAAAAGTGTAAGATTTTTCCGTCACACCCCTTCTGACGTAGTGTAGACGGCCTTGGCAGCTATAAAGAAGCGAGATGGATTAATATCCATCTCCCTCGGACTTTTTCTTATCTTGCCATGAAAAAAATATGTTTTTATTTTAAATGACGCTTCATTTTAATAGACGCTAGTAATTCATTTATTTCTATTTGTTAATCAATAATATAATACGTTTATCAATAATAATATAATAATATCCTACGAAAGGAACTTCGTTCGAACCGATTGTTCCACAACACTCACACATGTTTAAAGTATGTATATATTTAAATAATACACTCATGTGGGAAACATTTTATTTATAAATAAGTAACTTATGTTTTCTGTAATGTTAGTTCAGTTATTTTTTCAGTGGTTTTAAAAACATTGCAAATAAATCTTTCTATTCTATTTTCTTTAATAAACATGAAACTTCCCCGTTGTAGGAAATATATGCATACAATTTTCCATTATTGGCAGGCAGATTTGCGATCTTAGCACCAAAAGGCCACCGTCTATGGTGAGCCACAAGGGTTAACTGGCATTTCTCATTGTCCACTCTTATGATACCTACGGGATGGAATGGGTTGATAGATTTTTTTACGCCAAAAATAAAAATACGAAACTTCCAATATTTCTTTGCCGTATTCATGCGGCAAAGAAATATTGGAAATTTCGTATTTTTAATGAAAAAAATGTATAGTTTAAAAATAGTATTATCCTTGTTTCTTAAAAACATAATATATATATATCTTGCGACAAAGAGTCCATGAAGTGTGCTCAACAACTACAAACATTCTTATCCAAGTGCTGGTTGCTGCTTTTTAATCTAAAAGGTTTCCGCTAAGAGCAAATGTGTTTTTAAGTGCGATCGACACAAGAGCTTCGATTACAAAAGTAGCTCGGGATACGTCGAGCGGGAGCTACATTAAAATCCTATTTGAAATTGTAATGGTTCATTTGTGTAGTTCAAAGGTAAGTTCAAAGCCATGTAAAGTATCACTTAATTTTATTTTTTAACATCAGCAATACTTCTTATATATGTTGCAGCAACATACTGTTAGAATGATTCGCTACCGCCTATTCGTTTTATAGGATAAGGGTGACAAACGAGCACACAGTCCAACTAATGGTAAGTGGTTGCTGTGGCCCATTGACATTTACATCTATCCTCGGTTACGAATCAATATGCAGATGCCTTGTCACCCGTGAGGACTAAGATGGAATGCCTCGTTTCCAGTAAAAAGGGTCTTCAGTTTTCCACACTTACCATACGAAACATAGCAGCGTTAAGCTGCTATTATATGCTGTTCTGTGAGAGCGTGGTCCAGTAATACTGGTATATTATTCTAGCACGAATGGGTAATGTACAGCAGCAGGTAATGTACAGAATGTACAGCAGCATGGCTCTACCATGTAAATAATCATATATATAGTTATAATAAAACATTACAACAATAAATTATTGAAAAAATTAGACTGTATTATTTGGTATAGCCACAAAATGCGTAATTAAAAATGGAATTCTCTTTTCAACATATTTAAAAAAAAAACGGCAATTTCATAGGCATCAACCTAATATAAACACATTCGTTTCGCCTCACTAAAAGTGCAAAGGTAAAGGTCCAATTGTTTACGACGTATCACGCGTAAGTTGTAGGAACACACTGTACGTGTGTGAACGAACATCTCCTCCAAGGTGGATCCATGGTGATGGTGGTGGATGGATTTGGACATCACAGGTTGACGTTGCGTCGGCAGCGTGTGGTTGCCTTGCATGCGATAAGTGTATAGTTTTTCGTGTACAATAAAGAGTTCAGATGTCATAATACGTTGCATACGTTGCGTACGTGGAACCAATTGTATTCTCTCAATAAAAGAATAATTGTTATTTTAGTTAGGTTATGTTAAATAAGTATAACTTTAATTTAGCTATAAATTATTGCTGCAGCAAAAATGGGTCGGCTTGAACTCAGAGCAACAACGTTCGCTCAGAATACCAGCTAGAAATAGAGCAACATAATGCCGCATTGTTTTTATTTTATGGCAAGTGACAAGAATCGGAGATTTACTTTTACTGGTTATTTACGAGTTATTTCAACTTGGTATTCATCTTTGCTTTTGTTATAAATAGAAAATAGATGTAGTTAGTTGTCTATAACCACAACATTCGCTTATCATCAAATAGACTGTCATATATTAACTAATTACTATGTTAATTTCGTGTTCATTTATCACACTAAAAAGGCATTTCACAAAAACAATCAAATTAATATTAGCAATTTGTTATAGTTTTATCAATACTTAATAAAAACCGCTTCAAAAGTGCAAGACGACGAATACGCTTGTTGTCAACCGTGGTTATGGTGACTAATCCGGATTATATCTATGTCCGGTAGTGGACTTTTGTAGGCTGATTTAATTGCGACATAATGTTTAAGGAATGAAAGTGTTTGAAACCAAAAAGCAAATAAGTATTGCATTTAAAAGTGTATTTCACGGCCTTCCGCCAAAAAGTGTCACATGAATATTCCCGCTCGGTGACCGATATTTTGAACGAACAACCGTGAAGTTTGGTTACCGGAATAGGGTTAATGTTTAGATTTAGTGCTAATAGGGTGGTTGTAAATTTGTTGCAATGTTCATGCGCTATCGGATGGCACATTTGGCAAGGGCACCTCGCCTGGGGCTTGCGATGCTTGCCAGCTTAATATTCGTTTCGTTATCGCTGGTCGCTCGTTACAGTGGTTTAACAATTGTTTTTATAACCCATTTAACAACAACTCACTTAGAGGATTTCACCGTTTACAATTCCAATATTCAAAAGCTAGTTATGATAAGAAAGGTTAATAGATAGTGGCGTAAGAATACTGACATTGTGTAACTTAAATAGATAAGAAAGTCGCTGAGATTGGATTGAGTGACAAAGATCGAACAAATTTAATGTTGTTCGACAAATTGATTCGATTCCTCTCACAACTTTCGACGCTATCCCAGTGGACAAAACGAAGAAGAGTATAAGACAGACGATCCTTCGGGAGCTCGCTCTCGCAAACAAGACGTCGACGAACGCCGTCTTCAGTTCAAGTGTGTAACGATACCGATAAAATAGTTCTGTTTGTTTATAGTCTGTTGACTTTTATTTGTACAGAAATAATACACAATCGCCAAATTTTTTAGCATCGATCGTTGAAATATTATTATAACTATAAAAAAATTAATTATGCTTACCTTATCACAAAATGTAGTTACAATTAAATTAAAAAGAATGCAGTTCTTTAAATTAATTACTATCCGGCGGTCGTCTGGTTCCTTTTAAAGCTACTTTAGTAATGGTCGTTCGCGCGAGAATATAACGCACATTTGATAACATAGGGTTAATTAGATAAATGTTAAAACTAAAGAAATTGTTTAAATAACTCACAGTTGGTAACTTATAGTAATATAATATGACGACTTTTTGGTGTTTCGTACTACACACTTATGGAATAATTTCGGTGTCCTTCCGTCCTATTCTACCGACTTCAAAAAGGAGCCGGTACTCAATTCGACTGTATGTTTTTTTATGTGTGTGTTACATCATAACTTTTTACTGGGTGAACCGATTTCGATGATTTTTTTTTATTTGGAAGCTGATGCTTCACATGTGGTACCATATAAATTTGATCAAGGGCTGACCAATAGTTTTTGAGTTATTCTTAATAATTTGAAAATATTGAAGTCGGTTGTACAAAATTTTTAATTTTAAATTATTTCACAGGCGATGTTCTCTACGACTATTCTTATTGTACTATAACATTATACTGTGCATTTTAGTTAAGCATAGAGATGCATTGCGATGGTGTTATTTTAGACGTGTTTTAATTCTTCTTTATTCATTACAGTCTATCGAAAGAACATTGCTGAAGATAGCCGTCGACCATAGATTGCATCATAGGGGGATATTTGCTATAATAGCTATGCTTGGTATAGAATAGAATAAGTTTTTATTCAATATACATTACATGTGTAATTCTTATTGAAAGTCATTTTTTACTTTACCACTGGTTCGAAAAAAGCCCTCTGTCCTGGGAAAAACCCAGCGGGACTTTTTTTTAAAATAAATTATGCAATATTCTATATACGAACTATTTACAAAATTTATTTTAGAAACTGCTTGGAAGCGACCACCTTATTCCCAGGGGTTATTATCAACCATGTAAGCGGGTTGGGTACTGCATTTTATTATTTGAGTTGTTTTCGGGGAGATGGTGTTGCCCATCATCTTACTCATTTTCCTCTGTCGCCTTGTACGACTTCGACGGGCTGATGTGGAGTAGTGGATTATCTCACACCACCACTTCACGCTACTTCACTTCAAGTAAAATTCAAATTGCAGCGTAAAGAGCCTTGATCATATCCTCTTTTGCGAATCAAAATGTAAATGCCGTTTTCAGGCGTGAGGACTAAGATAGAATGCCTCTTTTCCCGTAAAAATGATCTCCGGTTACATCGGTACACTCAGCATACGAAACACAGCAGCATTAAGCTGTTTTTTTACGCTGGTATTCTGTGAGAGCGTGGTTCTGCCCCGGTCGAGCCGACACGTTCGTTCTACAACTATACAATTAATATATCTGCAGCATGCTTCTACCACATCAAAAATGATCATGTTCTCCATTTTCCTATTTTTATGTTTAATCACTACGGTCACTACTATTTATAGTTAAAGTGGCATAAGTACCATAGCTGGAAATCTTGTTGCTCGCAGACTACGAAATTTAAGGCAAACTCTCAACCCTTAAGTACTTACGGTAACTTGAAAATACTGCTAGTAGCATATAATATGTGCAGTGAATTGCGCTTTCTGTTACAAATCACGTAGGAGTCAA